CGCCCAAATATTCCATTAGCACACAGTTCAACTGAAGTGCCATCAAAATCATTTCGAGTTGATATTGCTTTTAGCTGTTTTTGCTCACCTCTTTTGTCTGGCTGCCAAAAAATGTAAAGTAAAGTGCGTAATACAAGCGACACTTTTTAAGCTGTTTTTTCTGGCAATTTTTACATGCTTTTTATGCTTGTCAAAGTAAAAAGTAAGCAGAGCATATTGGTTTTGTGTAAGATATATATCTTTCCTTAAAAGCTAAAGTGTCCAAATAGGGTATGACGAATTTCACAATAGCTCGTGCTGGCCCTGTCTCGTATATATCCCAATCAAGTAAGCGCTTAGTCCGTTTTAGTAGCTGTTCTTGGACAGTGAACGGGCATGGGACAGTCGGTTACATCCGACTATAATATGCTTAGTTTTTTTTGTCGCCCGATTTGCTTTTGGGGGCAGTTATGAAGCCTTCGATTGCCCGAAGCCGCCTGCTGCTGTGTTAGCTGGTTAAGGCCTTTGTGTGGCAAGTACAAACTGTACTTCCGTTTTAGCCTGGCAGCCTGGCAGCATCTTTGTTTTACGGCCAGCAGAGCTGGCGAGACATTGACAGCCACAACGACAAAGATAACGAGCAACGACTGCAATAACAGCGTGGACATCGAATCGATAAATATTCAGCACACAGTTTGTAAAAATACATTGGAAATGCATTAGACGCTGCACTCAGGCATGAATTTCAATAGCGGGTGTCTAAGATATTTTTCTATGTGTTTCGTTTGCTCTTTCGTTTCAGTTTGTGATTTTATTTTATTTTATTCCCATTTTTGTTCTCTCTTTTTTTTTCTTTTAATTAGAAGCGTGAAAAGTAGCTGCGAGTCTTGCGCTAATGCAATAATCGTGTGCTATAAATTTCAAAATGACCAAGTCTCCTGACAGGCAATCAAAGTGCACAATTTCTATACACTTTCAAGGTTGACAATGCGAAATATAATAAAATCCAGTTAGCTGCTTGCGGCGCAATCAAAACGCAATCAAAACGCTCGACTCGACTCGATTCCGTCGGACTCAAGTCAATTGCCATTTGCCGGCCACTAATCAAACGTAACGAAATTACTTACAAGCATAAACATGCCTCAAATCAGACAGGTTCGCCTTGAGAGCTGACCAAAATGGCGTTGCAACGGTAAAGCCGGCGGCTAACTTCGCCACTAACTTGTTGCGCGACATTTACACGGAAGCAAAAAGCCCAAGTGGCAACCGTGTGTCTGTCTAAGTGTGTGTGTGTGTGTGTGTGTGTGTTTGTATGTGTGTGCGTGTGCTTTGCGTCAGCAAGTGAATGACTCGAGCTATGCGGCGTATACGGCGTATACGTGATATGCCAAATGCTACGCATGCAGCGATATCTGATCACAGCATGAAGATCGAGCAGATAAAAGATTGATGTAAAAGCTGTTAATAAAAAAAAAACAAATCTGAAAAGTCAAGATAGATTTTATTTTTTAAACGCTTTATCGAGACATACAACAGATAATCTAAATGCAGTTGCATACAATTTAATTGCAATAAGCTGGCGTCTGCAATTATAGAAAATTTGCATTTCTTATTCATTTACTTACATGAGCAAAAGTAAGTGAGCTTGCAAATGCACTATCTTTTGTCACAAAATTAAATTTCATGTGTTCACGGGGGCTGCTTAAGCTTAGTTAACAAAAGTGTGACCGTAGTTTTGTTTAATAAACCACCTACTACCCTCTCATACATCTGGCCATGCGAAAGCAAATAAAAACTAGTCAAAGTCTGTTGAATACTAAAAAGTTAGCAGATTTAGCAAATAAGCAGCCTGCGTGCATGTTTGTGCTAAAAATTAATTAATATGTTAGGTTAATCTTTTCACTGAAATTGGTTCAATCAAAACTGCGAATGTTAGCAGGGCAGTGAGAAGTTCCCTTAAAATATATATTAATTGGTCAAGCAACTTACGAGTAGGTTAAAATTAACTTTTATATTATTATTAATAGTATACAAAAACTTCTTAAAGAGATTATAACGCGTTGCTTACTTATTTTTCCTAAAGTCATCGTATTCAGTGAAAATATTAAATTTATTTTATCGCAATGCCATTTTTAGAAAACTCATGTTTATGACACAAGCTTCAAAAAAGAAAAAAAAGAAATGAGTCAGATTGTGTTGCATTGTTACGCTTGCAACTGAAAGCCGATAATCAACGTTCAACAAATTGCAATATCAAATTCTGTGCGAGTGCAATATATAACAATGCCATTCCAATAATAAGTAAATAATAAGAAATCAAGAAAAAAAAATTGATTTAAATGTTATCAGGTAAATGTGAAGGAAGCACAAATTGATTTCGTAAATCTTAAATCGATTCAATAAAATATGCTGTTGCAAATCAAATGTCTCAATAGGCTTTAGATGTGTGGCAATACCAAATGCGCTCACTGCAGCCATTTCAATGTTGTTGTTGCTGTTGTTGTTGTTGTTGTTATTGTTGTCGTTGATAAGGTAGTCGATCGTAATGCGTGCGTATTTGTGCTCTTATCGTTCACTCAGTTTTATATTTAGTTGCATGTATTTAATTTATTTTTTTCCTTTATTATTTTTTAACAACGTGTTTGTAGGCAGAAATCTGAATCTGAGCTCAATTGTTCGTAGGGTAACATAACTGCGGCAACTGCGCTGCTCAGTCGCTGCATTCGCAACTGTTGCGCTTGCATTGTTGTTGTAGCGGCGAGCAAGGGCTCTTCACACAAATGCATGCGTGTGTGTGTGATGTGCATTAATGTGTGTGTGCTTTTATGAGATAATACCTTGAACGTGCGTCAGTCAGGTCGTTGTCGTTTAACTGCCGCCAACGCCGCATAGCACATGTCTGCTGCTGTTGCTGTTGTTCTTGTTGTTGTTCTTGCTGTTAATGTAACATTTACTGTTACTGTTATTATACTTAGTTGCTGTTATGACCTTTACATAGACAACGCAGCTGGCGCTAGTGAAATGAAAAGTTAGCTGCGATTCGGCTTAAAATTCGCGATAAACGGGCGCAATTTAATCTGTTCCTATCATGCTGAATTAGTCACGCAACAAATGGGGAAAAAACTAACAACATTTTCAGCACGTTTCACATTTTGATAAAGCCAACTGCGCAATTTCGGGGCTCATCAACAATTAGTTACTCAATTTTTTAGTTTTTCATTCATTTATCACTTGCTGCGCATAAGGCGAGCCAAAGTTCAATACAAAAGCAAACACAGAAAACACAAAAAACAAGGCGACCCACAACAAACAAGCCGAAAAAAAAAAAAGAAAAGAAACAAAAACAAAAAGCAAAGCTACGCTCAAGCTCATTTACATGTTGCACTGCTCAGCTTATGAGCCACTTTTGAGCAGAGTTCTTGAGTCAAGCACGAGAACTGAGTGGGACTCCGTAGCGCATGGGGAAACGGGAAACTCACCACGCGGCGACATTAATGAACAGGAAATGCAATTCTTGTGCTTTGCGGAGAGTAGTTTAAGCGGCACTGGTGAATTCTCATGCTCAGTGGCGCTCTCATTATTAATGTGTGTGTGAATGAGCGAGTTTTTTGTTGTTGCTGTTGGTTAATTTTTGAGCGTAATTTTTGTGAGGAGCCTGCATAATGCTCAAATTGGCAAACGTACCTATGAATCTGCATATGTATGTAAAAATATATGAATATCTTTTAAAATGTATTTCATTGGAGACTTATCTGTAGGCATTGGCAGATAAGAATATTGTAAATTATATGTAAAAGGTGCAACTTGCAAAATACTTGCAAAATACATCAAGGGAATTCCCCCATTATACAATTGTTTTTGCTTATTATTAGTAGTATACATTAATTTTAACATATATATATTTACAATATCATCTGTAGAAGATAATATATTTATTATTCAATTATTAATATTTAATTTATCAAAATATATGTAAATGTACGTTAGACATTTGTTGGAACAAAAAACCCGTATTGTTTTAAGGCAAAGCCCAAGCTACAAGCCGCCCCCCTGCTCCACCCTTCACCAAAAAAAAGTCTAGCTAATTGCCATGACAGCGACGCGGCAGCGCAGCAGCTGCGTTGCATTTTTTACAAGTGTATATGTATATATAACTATGAATGTATGTGTGTGTGTGGCTGCTTATTAAGCAGCTGTGTGCGTGTGCGAAATAAAAAAGCGACACAAAAAATGTGGTGAATACTAAATTTGAGATATTGTATGCGTGCCTCTCTATCTGTGTGCTTGCATTGTTCTAGCTGTGTCTGCGAGCGAATGTCCATCAAATTTGAGTGATTCTTTTTTTTGTTCTCTATGCGTGTGTGTGTGTGTGTGTGTGAGTGCTTGTGTGTCTGTGTTTGTGTTAATTGTAAGCTACATTTCTTATAGCAATTGTCAACAATGTCAGGCCGCGACAGCTGAGCACCGCGTTGCCTACAGTTGGGACTGGCCAACTACTCAACTGACTCCGGCACCGGCTATTTTGGCAGCGCTGCGCGCAGTCGGCTCGCTTTTTATCAACGCGCGCTGGCGTCGCAGTCGCCGCAGTGTCCGTGCAGTTGGCGAGAATTGCATTGCATTGCACTTGGCTCTCGTTGTTCGCCTGGTTCTCGCTCGTTCGGTCGCTCACTCGCTCACGGCTCGGCTTGGCTTGATGTTCATATCCGTGTGGCCGTTGAGTGTATGCGTGCGGCTTTACCCCGTTGCTGTTGTTACTCCTAAAGTTCTCGCGTTTGCGCGCCACTCAATGACTCAACGTGCACTCTCTCGCTCTCCCTCTCCATCTCTCTCTCTTTCTCTCTTGGCTCTCCCTCTCTTTCGCTCTCTTGGTGCTGCTGTTGTTGCGCTCTCTCGCATTCTAGTTGTGGGCTTTTTTTCTTATTTTTTTTTGCAAGCATGAATGCGCTTGTATGCAATTTTGACGTCGCTGTCGTCGTCGTCAGCGCTGTCTTCGTGTTGTTGTGATATAATTTTGCAGTCGGCTTCGGCAGTCGCATAAACACAACGCATCCGATATGCAACGGAACGCATTTTCGGACGCGGCCCGAGTCGTTCCGAGGTGTAGCGTCCGACGATCGCGTATATCAATCGTAAAGCATTAAGCGCATTCCACATTTCCATCACAATCAGTCGCAGGCAATTCAAAACCACAGAATTACTAAACAGAAAAAAGAAACTGCCCAAAAAGTGTCAAACAAAAAAAACACAAATATAATCATAACTTAATATTGCCAAAAAAAAAAATAAAGTCCAAAAAGTTAAACTAACCAAAACCAAAACGCGACAATTCTAAAAATGCAATAACTCTAAATTCATATATGGTATATCAAAAATTGTGCAGTGACAACATTTCATTGGCTCCCCTTCATAGTATTTCAATTTGGGGAACAGAACCGCAGCAGCAGCAGCAGCTGTGACACATTGCGTATACGCAACGTCTGCCCTTTGGGCAATGTACGCACTTGGCTTTCCACTGAGTCGTCGCCCGCGCGTTGCTTTTTTCGGTTGTTCTTGACTGACAACTGACAAAAACAACAACAACAACAACAAAGACTACGACAACAATAACAATAACAACAATAGCGAAGCTGCAGTCGCTGCCCCGCGTGTGTGCGTGTCTTTGCTTGTGTGTATGTGTGCTTTAATATGTGTGCGTTTTAACTGCGCTCGCTGGCTGCTGCAGTCGCCGCCGCAGTCGTCAACGCAGTCACCGTCACCGTCGCAGTCGCCGTCGCCGCTGTCGCTGGCATGCAAAACGCGGAAAACTTTTTTTCGCGCACTCGCAAAATTTTTATAGAATGCATTTTTATTTCGGTCTTTTGGTTGAATAGTTGCACTGCCCCGTGGTGTGCGTGTGCCGCTGTGTGTGAGTGTGTGCGTGCGTTAAATTTATTGTTAATAAAATTGTATAATTAATATCGCAACAACAAATGTGACAAAAGAGCTGCACATGCCATTCGAAAGAATTGTGTCTTAAATATATTTTAAAACCCAAATATATACAAAAAACAACATAAATAATAATATAAGACGTGCAAATCCAAAACATTTTTAGGCAAATTGCAAATAAATAAATCTTAGACATACACATATTATATATAATGTGTATATGTTAATATGTGCATATAATAATTTCATTGCCAATCGAATACATCACGCACCGCATCTCATATTCGATATCGCAACATTTTCACTGCACTTTTGTTACGTTCCAAAGAAACCGAAGCGCAAAAAATTCATTTGTCGTGCCAAATTTGCTTAACAAAAATGAAAAAAAATATAATAAAAAAAATTTAATATACAAAATAGAGTTCAAACAAAAAAGTAGAAATTACTGAAGAAGAAAAAAAATGTACTTCAGCATACAAATGAACTGCGGCAAATTTCAGCAGCAGCAGCAGCAGCAGTAAAACAAAACAAACAAAGCGGCAAAAAAAAAAAAAAAAAACACTAAATATAAGTAGAGTAGAAGTAACAGCAAGTGCTGTAATAAAACGTGGTTGGGTGGCTGCCCAGTGGGTGGCGAACTTTATGTGCAGGCAAAATGTAACAAATTTTTGTCAGTTTCAATTTTCGTCAGACAGACGAGACGCCACCAACTTAACCAGTCGCTACAGCAGCAGCAGCAGCAGCAGTAGCAGCTCCCCAAGCCCAAGCCCGCTGCAGTAGCTCCACCATGACAATGGTTAGGTCTCTCCGGGTGCTCAGGCATTTACTTTGCCGTCGGGCTTTGCAGCACAGCATAATGAACGAGAACCGAAAAATAATAAAACGTAGCGAAAAACAAGAAAAAAATACAAAAAAAATATTAAAAAAAAAAGAAAGTACTCACAGATATATGCTAGAAAAAATGGCAAATTAAATACCCGAAAAAAAAAATAGCTGCCTGGTTGGGTTGTCCGGTTAGCAGCGAATTGGCCATGCGCTGCAGCTGCGCAGCAACTGAAATGCCTGGCTAAAGCTTAACCCATGTGCGCCCCACCTGGTTGCGGCAGCAGAGCAGCTGGTCTAAACCGAGTGCAGCGCAGCATTTGATTTTCGCATTTCTTTGGCTTACCTTCCGTTCGTTAGCATTTTTCTCCTGCTTTTTGTGTTTTCCACCTTTCCGTTTATTTTTTTTTTCTTTTGGCATATCCTTTTGCCCAAAACTTAAATTACTATTTACAATGGTTTTCAGCTGGTCTTGTTGTTTTTGTTATTCGTGTTTTTTTGGTTTTTTTGGTGCTTTCTGCGCAACTTTTCTAGCGAATATTTTGAGCAGTTTCCCCCTCAGCTGCCCTCGACTTGTTCATGCCCCCACAGCTTCCAACTCTTCAGCCCAGCAGCTTGCTAATTTCATTTGATATTTAGTTTAGTTTTTTTTTTGCATTTCTTTTCTTCATTTTTTTCCAGTTGCGTTAAGTTTGTATGATAAAAGCTAAAAAAAAAATGCCAAGCGGCGCCCAATCTTATCAACAGCTCATTGAAAAAAAGTCTGGTGCTGCTGCGGAACGTGAGCGCAGAGTCAAATTATTAAGCTGAAGTGTAAAAAAGCAGATTAAAAAACAAAAAGTATAACTAAATTGAAAGACGTAAATTTGCTGGCATTTTTTGAATAGTTGCAATTGATTAAATGTATCTTTAAGATGCGCAACGCAGTGATTATGATCGCGAATTTTCAACAACTTTCACACGTTTCTCAACAGCCGTTGCTCATAATTTTTATTTGCCATTCTAGATAATAAACAGTAACAACAAAAACATTTTTGTTATTAAATTTATGTTGAGTTAAATGCAAAACAAAAGCAAAAACAAAATACAACAAGTAAAAGTGCAATCTATTAACAAAAACAAAAAGGTTAATAACAACAACAAAAACTAGCAAAAATAATTAAAAAAGTAGCAGTTACTTTTGAATTATTTTAAATGCTGCATAAATATTAAATGTTATGTTAAAACATATCACCAAATACAACAAATTATAATTATAATAATTAATACACCCACAACAATAACAAACGGGCAACTGTCAAAATTAAAAAAAAAACAACAACAACAACAAAAACAAACACAACAATTACCGCTGTCTGCAAATTGAACATAAAGATGAAATAACAACAACAACAACAACAACTACAACTAGAGAAAAAAGAAAAGCTGAAACCGTTTCATTTTTTACGGTGCATATTATTTACTTTGTGCGCCACACTAAAAAAAAAATAAAGAAGGAAAATACCAGCCAGCCAACAGTCCAAAAAATACATAGCATCAAAAAATCTGCAACAACAACAGCAACAACAATAACAATAATAATTGCCTGCATTTGGCCTTTTGTGCGCGCACCTAAAAAAAAACGAGAATTTAAATTGTATATAGGCACTACATATAAAAAGAAAAATTATTTGCTTATATACACTATATAAATGTATTGTATGCGCTGTTCAGCAACACCAACTGCAACACCAACAACAACAACAGCAACAACTACAACAAGAGCAGCAGCAACAACATCGGCCGCAGCAGCCGAGACACAATTACAGCAAAACGCCCCAACAACTCCGAGAGCCCAGCGCTGACTACCGTGCCACGTCCAGCGTGGCTGTAAATTGCTGTTGTTGTTGCTTTATTTACATTTTTGTATTTTTTACATCGACTGCGCAGTCAACGTGAGTGGCAGCAGCAGCATCGACAGCAGCATCAACTGCGGCCGCATCCACATCAATTTGGCTTTTGGGCAAAAGTAATTTAAGAAAAATATATGTGATGCTATGCACATCAGCAGCTATGAATTATGTACGTATCTAATGCATAAGTTGGTTAACATATTTATAATTTAACTATTAATTAATACAGACACTTGTTTATGGCCAAGCCCAAGGCTAAGGCAGCAGCTGCTTTTGCTCTTGCCTTAATCACATGAAATTTAAACTCCATTTGAGTCGAAGCTACGTAAAACCCACTCCCACCCCACAGCCATTTACCCGTGCCTTAGCTATTGTCATAAGCTTCTTTTAACGCATTTATCAATAACCTTGCGCAACTCCTTTCACTACACTTTCTGGCCAAGTTCTACGATCGCTTATCAATAAATTAAGCGAATTGCAGCAAAGCCTCCGTGACATTGTCCTTCAATGCAAAAAAAAAATAAAAAAATTCGCGAGCCACAGCAACAACAATGAAAGCGAAATGTGTAAACAAAGATACACAATGCGGCAGCCTATCAGATACACATACATAAATACACGCATACTCAAATGTGCACACACAAAAAAAAAGATACTCGAACTTAAGGACACAAGTTTAAGCAACTGCAAAGTGCATTCGCCCGGCTATAGATATAGATACAGCTACAGATACAGGTATAGCTATGTATACAAATGACAGATATATCTACTTCAGCGCTGTGATTCTGATATTGTGATAAATATCAGCGAATTCATTGAGAAACACCTAGGCGGAAGTATTGTCGAAATGCCAGCTCAAGCTCACTTATCTAAAACAGAGCCAGCGCGAAATGCCAGCAAAGACAAAAGATAGTTTTCAATACAGAGTGTGCGGCGCACACACACATTAACGCTAATCAGATACATGCAGTTGCATGTATGCACGTTCCTTATCAGGTGGCCTGACGCAGCCGATTCTGACCCAAATTGCGAAAAAGCGACAACTCTGACAACACAGCTCCCTGAGACGGAGGCCACACTTTGGCTCGCCTCGCTGATATGGCGGCTGCTTGTGAAATCTTCGCAGCAACAGCAAAAAATTAAGCAACAAATTATTGAACAAAAAAATATATATATAAATATATTTATGAGGCGTTGCTGCCTGTTTGTTAATCGGGCAAAGAAAACATGATTATATATATACATATATACTTACCCTTACGTATTGCGCGCAACAAAAAAAAACACAAAAAAAAAAAACAAAAAAAGAAAACGCCCAAAGCGGAAATATTTAGCGCTTCTTATCAGGCGCAAAAAATTGATTTAATTTTTTGTTGCTCAAATTTTTGCCACGAACGAAAAGTTCTTTGCAAGCATATATATATATACATATATTTATAATTTTACTATACAGTATATATAGTATATATGTATATAAAACAAAAAATCTGTGCAGCTGCAGCTGCTACGGCGATCGCTAGAAGTCCGCACAATAGTGCGACTTGACGCGCATAGTTCAAATTATCGCAATTTAATTTTTATTATATATAAATATATATATATGCACATATATATATATATATTTAAACATGATGCACATACATACTAGCCACAAATGCATGTGTGTGTGTGTATGTATTTGTGATTTCCACAAAAGTTGCCCTGATAACGGCGCACACAAAAAGCTTCAATACTTATATTTACAATATGTCGTAAATATAATGATTTCTCTATAGTTTTTTTTATTGCTCGCATCATATTATGAATTAGAAGCGCACAAATTGAAATTAGAACTAAAAACAAATCAAACAGTATAGTTATATAGCATACAGTTATATTTGTGGTCTATAGATTTTACTAATAGCTTGTTCTACCAAATCGTCAGCTTTTTTTTTTAGTTTGATTTTGCGACAGTTTCTTAGCTTTAGTCGCAGCACAAAACCACAAAAAATCATTTTTAAATGACTCAAAAATACGCATGATTAATCATTCGTCATGCTATTTATTGCTTAATATTTCATTTTGTTTCCTTTATTTATAAATTTTGGTCAACTGCCGAAAACAGCATAAATGAAACTTAATTTTAATTTCAATTGGTTTACGCGCTTGCAAAGCTGCAGCTTGTTGTTTTTTCTTCTATTTTTTGTTCTTTTCGTAGAACTGTTGCCGCTAATTTTTAATGAAATATAAAACAATTGTGTAAATAGTATTTGCTGATCGAATTTCGTTAGCAGCTGCTTTTGCCATATACGAAATAGATAATGGCAACTCGAACTCCCCAAAGTGTTTACCATTTGGGCAAAAGATAACAAGCGGCAATGCAATGGCAGCTAAATGTGTGTGTGCCATAAATAAGTGCAATGCATCATAAACAAACTAAAATAACAACGTGACAAATGTGTGAACATTAAATACATTTCATAAAAAAAAAAATAAAAAACAAAAGCAAGATCGACACGCCGTAAATTAAATGCCCTACCAGCAGTGCGTTGTGGTAGAAATTTTGCTCAGATGTTGGGTGCATAGTTAAGCTCGTCAGTGCTAAGTTTGATCAGATTATCTAGTAAGACAACCATTTATCAATAACTTAATTACTGACTGATCATACCTGTATGATATAGTATGTAGTCTGAGCTGTCATATAGCTTATAGCCTAAGCTTTGGATAGGCTTAGAACTGCTTTAGCTTTAGTTAGTCTGAAAGAGAGACACGAATATGACTATATCGGCTTGGTTTTTGATACTGTTCAAGAATATATATCTTTGCATTTGGAGTTGTCCACTTAATTGCTTGACAAAATCATAATACCCTCGGAAACAACGAAACTGGCAAACAAAGCAAGCTGCGAACTGGAAACTGCAAACTGCTGACTTGGCCAAATCGCTGCCGAACTGTTGCAAATCGGAATTGCCTAGACGCTGGAGCTGGCGCTGGCCACACACAGCGCCTGGTTTGTTGTAAGTAAATGAAACGTAATTAGCTGGTAGCCACAATGCCAGACATTTAATGCCAGGCAACATCAATGTCTTTTGGCCGCTTGGCAATCGGTTGCCAATCATTGGGCTACCAAACATTTAACAAACGGAAACAGCTGTCTCTGCTGGCATGCAGATCTGTATATGCTATAGATGTTGTGGATAAGGGTAGAGCTAGCAGCTAGCAGCTACGAGCTAGGAGCTAGGAGCTAGGAGTGCGGGCAGCCACAGACAACCGTCAAGCAAGCTGCCAAAAGGAAGCTGCTACCAAACACTCGACTCGACTCGACTTGAGTTGAGTCGAAAATGCAGCCGGCTGTTTGGCTGGTCAAACTTGCAGCAAATGCCCTGGCGAGTTAAGTTGCCACATGCGCCTGCTGCTACAGTTCTAGCCATAAAAGCAGCAACAACAACAAAACACTGCAAAATAGTTACAACTGACTGGGCTATGCAGAAAACTTGGCTAACGACTTTTTTCCGTTGGCGCTCTTGACTTTTGCATTGAAAATCGTGCAATTCACCTGCTGCCTGCCAGTAACTACAACAATAGCAACAAAAACAACAACAGCAACAACAGTGACGTTGAATGCATCTGCATCTCAGCAGCGCCAACATCGCCGCTGCCGTCGCAGCCGTCGCCGTTGCCTTTGCCATCGGTTGCATGTTAATGTTACAGCTGCACTTGCACTTGCAGCAAATGCCGCGTCGTCGTCATGAATGACGCGGCTTAGGCCCATTTCCCCACGCCCCGCAACACCCCTCAATCGCCCCTCCTCACGCCATGCCACAGCCATTGCACGCTGTTCCCTGCCCTGCATCCACATGCAATTATTTTTCTAGGCTGCGGCCGCAAATTGCACGCCTGCATCTCTCTGTCTATGTGTGTGTGTGTTTGTATGTGTGTGTGTGTGTGTGTGTGCTGCTGCTGCTGCTGCTTCTTGGCTGCCTTTTTGTTGATTTTACAAGGTGTGGAATGACTTTGGTAGCGCCTGCCACAGCCGCTGCTGTTGTTAGCTGCTAGCTGCTGCTGCTGCAACATCGTCAAACTTTGTGGCTTCATTTTGGCTAAGCCAAGTCCAAGCTGCTTTTCGCTGTTGTTGTTGCTGTTGTTCTTGGCTTGGCACGTTTATGGTCGCGTTTTAATGTAATTGTTGTTGTATTACAGCAAATTTGTACGCTTTGATTGTTGTTGCTGTTGCTGTTGTTAGCTAGTTAACTGTTTGTAATTTGCCATTCATGCTGTCGGCCCAAAGTGAGGCGATTTGCCGTTTGTTGTTAGAAATCAGCGCAGTTGACGCTGATCAATTTGTTAGGTGTCTGCTGTCGTGTGCCAGTCGTCCACGGATACTGCCAACAGATTGATTGATAAAACAGCAGCGCTGCTAAACGCTTAGACAGGTAGCCAGCCGCCAATTTACAGATATTTCACAGTCGCAAATTCTCAAAAATTGCAGAGCCGAGCGCCCAGCTTGGCAACCAGCTATCGTATCAAGACAGTGGCACAGTTCGCCGACAATGGCAACGGCAACTAATTAAGCGGCAACTGTGGCATTAAACGCCATAAAGCCGACGGCTTTAGTGTTGCGCCGTGGTCAACACCCACTAATCCAATATTTATTATGACTTTGACGGAAAGGATGTGCAAGGCGCGCGCGCGCAAAAAATGAATGACTCGAGTGACTTAATAAACGACTAAGCTGAATAACTAACTAACTGACTGACTGACTGAGTGACTGAGTGACTGACTGAGTGAGTGAATGATGAGCAAATGACTGATGGCAAAAATAACGCTTGACAGAGTGCACAGTCCACAGAGTAGACGTAGCCCTGTTATTAGTTAAATGGTGTATAATGGATGAATAACTCGAAATACAGTAGTCGGTAACAAAATAGTAAACAAAACAATAAGTATTAACAACAAAAACAACAACAACAAAAACAATGGCAAACCGCGTACTTTTGTGTTTGGCAAACTGTTAAACTGACTCCGACTCTGACGCTGACTCTGACGGCGTTGAAGAAGACTGCAACGCGTAGCCAAGCGAACGAACCGGACCACACCTTAATAATTACTTAAAAGGAAAATAATTTACGAAATTGCATTCATAGTTCAGCCCGCTGCTGCTGCTGCCGCTGCCGCTGCTGTTGCTGCTGC